ATCTCAACTCAAATCTAATGTTAAGGTGGGAGGGTCTCTTTAACATCAGAGGTCTTGCATATAGCTGGATTGAGTCCTACCTGTGCCAGCGCTCCCAACGGGTCATTGTCGATGGGAAGCACTCTGAGTGGACGCCAGTCTTGTCTGGCGTCTCGGAAGGCAGCATTCTCAAGACGATATCAAGACGATATCATTCACTCTCCGCACGACCCCGGTACAGTGTACTTATTACCTGGACGGACATCAACTGGAGCGATGCGATGCGAGCAGATGCGCGATCTCGGTGTCGTCCTGGATGCAAAACTGACCTTTGCCGATCATGTTGATGCCGCGGTTGGCAAGGCGAACCGTAAGTAATGCTCGGTCTGCTTATGCGCAGTGTCCAGATGTCCCCATGTGCTCGCCACCCAGGCTTCAATCATCTTGCAATCTTGTCAGCGTACAGAGCCCACGTGCGGTTCGTGATGGAGTACGCTAGTGTCACCTGGTCCGAGGCCGACGCAAATCATCTCAAACGCATGGAACGTGTTCAACATAGGTTTCTGAGTTTTACGCCCCAACATGTGGTTGGGGCGTAAAACTCAGCCCCGCTGCCCTTCCATGGACTACTACACCTCACTCCTGAACCATTTTAAAGTGACCATCCCACCTTAACATTAGTTTTGAGTTGAGATAGCCAAATTGGTGGCCATGGCCATAGGTGTAGGAACAGGGGGACGGGGGAGCCGGTGGCCCCCCCCCCCCCACTTTTCATAGTGGGGGGCCAGTAATGTTAACTGCCCCCCCCCCACTTTTTGCCGAACTTTTTAATGTAGGTATTTGTAGGCATCACCCCGAAGAACAAACTTGACGGTTGTCCGGCCTGCCCTTCCATGAAAATTTCCATTTGTGCTTCATCATTATTGAGTGCAATTTTCCTCCACCCAATGAAAGGTAACTTTGTCAGAAGCAATAAGTGACAGCTTAGGGGCAGCGCGCGCTGCAAAGAGAGACAATACTGGCACAGCAGAATGCGTAAACGGCGTAAACTAACAATTTATGTTAGGCGGCCTTGCATTAGTTGATCGGTTACTGGCATAGGCGTAGGAACAGGGGGCAGGGGGCAATGGTCCTCCACTTTCGAATGGGGGCCAGCAATGTTAACTGCCCCCCCCCCCCCACACACACACACCTTTTGCTGACTTTTCACTTCTGACGTTTCACGCTCGCTCGTAATAAAAGATGTTTTTGGATGCTTCTGGAATTCGCATGGGTGCCAACCAGTGGCGGATCCAAGGTGGGGTCACATGGGTGATGCCCCCTTGGGGCCCGGGGGCACCACAGGCCTACCAGGGGCACCACCGACCTATCAGGGGTTCCACAGACCTGACAGGGGCACCACCGGCCTGTCAGGAACACCATCGGCATAGCATGAGCACCACTGGTCTGCCAGGGGCACCACAGGTCTTCCAGGGGCACCAAAGGCCTTCCAGGGGCACCACTGGCCTCGCAGGGGCACCTTGGGCCTGTCAAGGGCACCACGGACCTGTCAGGGGCACCTCAGGCTTGTCAGGGCCCAGGGGCACAACAGTCCTTTCAGGAGCCCCACAGGCCTGTCAGGAGCACCACAGGCCTGTCAAGGGCACCAGAAGCCTAGCAGGGGCACCACATGTCTGCCAGGGACACCACAGACCTGCCAGGGGCACCACAGGCTTGCCAGGGGCACCCACTGGCCTCGCAGGGGCACCTTGGGAGTGGGACTGTCAGGGGCATCACGTGGCTGTCGGGGACACTTCAGGCTTGTCAGGAGCACCACAGACCTGTCAGGGCCCAGGGGCACCAGCGGCCTAGCAGGGGCACCACGGCCTCGCAGGGGCACCACCGACCTCGCAGAGGCACCATGGGCCTGTCGCTGGCACTTCAGGCTCGTAAGGAGCACCACAGTCCTTCCAGGGGCACCACAAACCTGCCTGGGGCACCTGCGGCCTAGCAGGGGCACCACAGGCGTGCCAGGGCAAAAACAAATAAATGAAAAATGAAAATAGGGCACCACCAAAATTAAGTGGCCGAAATCAGTTGAGGTTTTAATTTTGGGTATAGGTAGGGGCACTACTTCGATTCATGACCCTCCCCTTGGAGTTTTCCTGGATCCGCTCCTGGTACACTCGTGGGCAGGTTGATGTTCGAGTACTCTTTATCCACCGGGCTCCTATGGCTCAGCATTGGCAGCAGCCGCCTGGTACCGGTAGACTGTGCCGCTTCACTTACTTGTCAAGCGGCACAGCCTACCCACACCGTATGACACCGGTCTGGGTCGGTGGCTGGAAGGCAATGTGGGCCGCCTGTGACGTCAGCGCAGCGGTGAGGGCCGAGCCCGGAGGCATGGCTCGGGTCGGCGCGGCGCGGCGGCTGGCGAGGGCTGGGGAGTGAGGTGGGGTGGGAGCATGGACCATCGCGCGGCTGGGCGAGTGTGGTTAACTTTCGCGTCTCCAGGCGCAAATTGTTCCAGGTCTAACAATTGCGCTAAAGCATTTGTTAAAATACCCTATGCCCAAGACAGCACCTATATCATTTACTTGCTATGCGCATTACGACGCACAAGCATGACATTTTCACGTGGGTCATGTGTGTGAACACACATGACATGACATTGTCACAAGCATGACCTTGGGACAGCCGATAGAACTTATGTCACAGGTGCATCGAGGTGCGGAGCTACATTGTTTATAAAATATAAGTGTTGATGCCTTGGTTGAGCTGATTTGTGTCTATTGTTTCGCACAGCAAACGTCCAGAGACGTGAGAACTGGGGATTATGGGTAGTGCGGCAGCCAACGCCCAATTTAAAGTGAATATTACTGTTGCTCTAATATGTGGTCGCAGCCACCAATAGCTAACCGTTTCAACTAGGAGCAAATAATTCGGGCACTCAGGAGGGTTCGAACCGGGCTCCTCCCACCGGACATTTTACGACACGAGCGTTCATCCACTGAGCTACCGAGAATGATCCCTAACTGCACAAAACGAAATGACATTCGCCCGCTGACCGCCAATGACAGTTGTGTGACATTTGATCGCATTTGACCGCGGAGGGTGGTCACTGGTCTCGGTAGCTCAGTAAATGAACGCTGGCGTCGTAGGGTGACCGGTTGGTGAAGCCCGGTTCGGACCGTCCCGGGTGCGCGACTTATTTGCCCCTTGTTGGAATGGTTTCCTATTGGTGGATGCGACCACATATTAGAGGAACAGTAAGATTTGCTTTAAGTTGGGGCGTTGGCTGCCGCGCTATCCAAAAACCCCAGTTCCCACGTCTCTGGACGATTGCTGTGCGAAACAATAGACACAAAGCAGCTCAATCAAGGCCTTCGCTTATTTGTTATAAATAATGTAGCTCCGCACCTCGATGCACGTGTGACATTAGTTCTGTCGGCTGTCACAATGCCACGCTTAAGTGCGTCGTAATGCGCATAGCAAGTGTGATGATAGGCGCTGTCTTGGGCTAGGGTATCTTAACAAATGCTTTAGCGCCATTGTTAGGTGGAACAATTGGCACCTGGAGACGCGAAACTTAACCACACTCGCCCAGCCACGCGATGGACCGTGCTCCCACCCCACCTCACTCCCCAGCCCTCGCCAGCCGCCGCGCCGCGCCGACCCGAGCCATACCTCCGGGCTCGGCCCTCACCGCTGCGCTGACGTCACAGGCGGCCCACATCGTCTTCCAGCCACCGACCCAGACCGGTGTCATACAGTGTGGGTAGGCTGTGCCGCTTGACAAGTAAGTGAAGCGGCACAGTCTACCGGTACCAGGCGGCTGCTGCCAATGCTGAGCCATAGTAGCACGGTGGATGAAGAGTACTCGAACATCAACCTGCCCACGAGTGTACCAACGCGGCTGCGGAGGCCAGGGGCACGCGTCCATGAGATTAAATTTCTGGACGGGAGTCTCCCCAAGATTTTGGTCGATTTTTGTCACGTTTTTTTTTACCAATTTGAGCATGCTTGCGAACATAAAGTGGCCGAAATCCGAGGCGAAAATGGATTTTGGGGGTAGGTGAGGTTTTGTGCCTCTGGGAACCTGCCCCCCCCCCACTTTCGAAAACGTTCCTACACCTATGGCCATGGCCTGCAAATACCGGTTTGGGCACTCACAACATCGAAAAATGCTTTAATTCGGAGATATGGAATTTCAAACTTGCAGTTTTCGGATTCTAAGGGGCTAATGCATTGAGATGCCCCCTTAGAATTTGTGACGTCAGCGGTGATCTATCGATCTTAAAACCTTATACTAACATCTTTGTAAAGCAGTGGTGGTATATGCTATTTGCGCGCAACATCTGCCGCGAACGCCGCACTTCCAAAATGAAGTCGCTAGGAACAGCGGAGATTCCCAAAAAGTAAGCAAAAGTAAAAGTATAATATCTTGAAAACCGGTGAATATTTTTCGGTGAAAGTTGGTAGATATTCGTTTTTGCTCTTTCTGAATCGAGCGACATCACTTTCATGCCAATTCATTAACTTTTTTGAAGGTGGGAGGGTCCCTTTAAAATCCAGTCCATCAAAGCTCGCCTAATTCAAACCGACATGAGGTTCTTGCAGTCTGTCAAGTGTCCTACATGGCCGACTGGACTGCCAGTATCATGTCTCCGTGTTCTCGCTGGCTGTTCCCTCACGACGTACCCGTCACACTGGCATGTTCCATGTGCCGGGCGGGCGAGTGAAATTTGTGCGTAACGGCTTCCTTTCGCGGTTACCGGAAACATGCCACGCGCTTTTGAAAAAAGCGCCAGGGGCAGGGACTGATTTCTTTTACTCAATACTCACAATCTTTTTTAAATCTCAGGTTTTTAAGTTCGCAAACAGTGAGGGTTTCTACTGATGTCCAATTATTGTCCATAGTTGGGGCAGCGGTGCTATCTACATATTCTTAAACTACGCTGTCTAGTCATTCATCTTCTATAATCGTGCTTCTTTTAAGTGCCCCATAATGCCCCATGTAATCAGGAGATGGCGGCTCTTACTTGTGACTCCGGTGGCGTTCTGTGATGTAATGAGCTCTATGTTAGTCTCCGGCCAGTTATTCTTTCTGACCGGTCCCACATCCGGACAGGTCAGCGGCGCCTCTGTGGGCATAATCAACACCAATCAGTCATTTCAACGTTGCTCAACACCGACAAACTAGCTGAAACCCTAATGCATAGGGCATAGTTACATGCGCATTGTGCATTGTGCAACCTTATGATTATAAGCATATTTAGTGACCGAATCCTCAATAAAATCTGAATAAATAACAGAATAACAAAATTCGGGTGTATTCGATCACAGATCTTCGTCAACCGATGGGCCAGCATGCGTCGCAATTGTAGACATGTCAAACACTTTTTTTGTCACTTCACATGCACAAAAGTAGATATATCCTCAGATAAAGATTTATACATGTTATTGATAATTCTAAAGGTCAGGGGTGTCTAATACAATACAGGAAACATAGATGTGACAATAGTATGTGGGCCTAAGCACGTAAAAAGAAGATTTTAAAGTTCGAACATATTTTGTGAGACGATAAAATAGAGAGCATAATATACTTGTATCCTGCACAAAAATAGAGCACATACTACATTCACAGTACATTCAATCTACGCAAACATTCCGACACAATCGCTTTTTTAACGTTGTGAGATTTTGCCAAATGCTAACCCGCTAACCTACTTTGGAAGTACACTGACAACCAAAACGATTCTCTATTCCCTTTGATCATGGTGTGTCATGCTCCTATAACTCTGCCGTTTTCCTGGCGGAATGCCCTTAAGATACTCAAATGATTCCTCAAATGATTCCTTTTAAGCATATCAGGGGTTTTGGTCTAAAACAACACCCGGATCATTTTCTTCGAACATACCCAAACTATACCGTCATTCTTTAAATACCTCCCTTGAATTCTTCTAATATACCCTAGTGTACAGTCTCTGCCGCTACTGTCAGATACCGTACCTGTGCCGCTCGGCGCCTCCGGCGGTGACCGGTCGGCGGGCCGGGACTGGCCGGCAGGGCGGGCGAGGAGGACGGGCAGTCGCTCCCTGGACGTGTTGCTGACCACTAACCCGCGCCCCGCTGGGCTATTCAGCCATACGCGCCCTGCTGGGGATAGAACCTTAACCCTCGTTTTGGATGTGTTACGATATATAAAGGGAAATCGGACGAGGAAGCTGAGAGTAATGAGACAGTTTCTGAGCAAGTTCTACGACGAATATACCTAGGGCATTATTATTTTCCCTTCTGGGTCTATGTGGGGTCTAATGCAAGAATACATTGAGATCAGTGATGGAAATCACAGAATAATAGGGGAGTGTTACGTGGTATAATGCGAGTATAGTTTGCAAAATATTCCCCTTATACGCTTAGAAGGAATACTAGAGGTTTCGATGTAAGGGTATTTTGGTAGGTTAAAAGGAGTGTACTGTGGGTATCGCAGGGAATAGAACAGGAATCATATTCCATTCCTCTTCGGTACTTACTAGGGTATATTAGAAGAATTCAAGGGAGCTATTTAAAGAACAAGGGTATAGTTTGGGTATATTCGAAGAAATGATCAGGGTGTTGTTTTAGACCAAAACCCCTAATATGCTCAAAAGGAATCAAAAAGGTTCTCAGTGTAGGGTATATTAGAAGAATTTCAGAGTGATATTCAAAGAAAGTGTATTTGGGGTATATTCGGAGAAATGATCAGGGTGTTGTTTTAGACCAATTCCCCTAATATGCCTAAAAGGAATCAAAACAGCTCTCAGTGTAGCTGCCAGGAGGTGCTGTTGTCGTTCAGAACTGGACAACAGTTAAAAATCTTTTTTTTTACGTGCTTAGGCCCACACACTATTGTCACATCTATGTTTCCTGTATTAGACAGCCCTGACCTTTAGAATTATCATTAACATGTATAAATATTTTATCTGAGGATATATCTACTTTTGTGCATGTGAAGTGTCCAAAAAAGTGTTTGACATGTCTACAATTGCGACGCCTGTTGGTATCGGTTGACGAAGATCTGTGATTGAATATACCCGAATTTTGTTATTTTGTCATTTATTCAGATTTTATTGAGGATTCGGTCACTAAATATGCTTATAATCATAATGATGATTTTCCTCACAACGCTTAACTCTTTACATTGTGCAACCTATTGCAAAGATATGTGCGTACCGTAATGCTGGACCATCTGATGTGATATTCACTCTTTCCGCCTTCTCTTCTTGAAAAGAACATATTTCTAAATGTAATATACCTCATTTGCAAATGAGCTTTCTCATTTCGAAATATGTGCACTGTTTGGGCTGAATTAATTTCCAAGCACGCTCAATATATGTAGATGTGCGTGTGATCTACCCACCGACCTGTAGTTGTTGGCGGCACAGTGGTTGTCGGTGAAAATGATGTCGTTTGCGAGGTGAGCTCTGATGTTGATGAAACTGTCGTAGGCTCCGTTGAGTCTGTTGAAACCACACTTGATGCTGAATCATCTGCAAAATAATAATAATAATAATAATAATGTCGTAAAGCTCACGTATGTATGTACAGGTCTCGCGGGTTTTAGCGGTACGTTTTGCACCTAGAAAATTTAGTGTACTTCAAGCTATATCGTCGTCGTCTTAACCCTCGCCCGTAAACGGCGATCTGCCACCTTCGCCCATGCAGGGGGGGTTGGTGCGACCCCCCCCCCCCTTGGCGTTTGAAAACGGAGCGTCGTAGAGCTTAGCGGAAAAAACCAACGGATTGCTCTCGCCGAGATCTCGCGATTGGTGGTCTATTTTTTGGTCCTAGGTCAACATTTGACCTACTTTTGACCGGTCAAAGGTCAAATTTTCGGAAAAATAGATTTTTTTCAAATTTTCCGCGGCGATTGCGGCAAAACGGTGGGAGATATCGACTTGAAACCTTCACTATCGTGTTCCTTGATCAATTCTCTATCGTTTGGTATGTATTTCGTTTCCCTAGCTCTAATAATGGCGCGTTGGGAGCGCCGGAAGTCGGCAAGGTCACAGTCGGCGGCAGAAATTCGAAAAATAAAAATTAAAATTTTTGAAATCTGATTGTATTTTTGGATTTGGGATGTCCATTTGCTCCCTATAGAAGCTAATATTGCTGCATATTCCCATTGAGGTGACAAGAATTAGCAAAATAGTGGTTCGGGCGCTTTTCAAAAATAGTACCGGACGCTGTTCTTCTTGTGACGTCATAGCTCCGTGACCTGACCTGACCCGGTCAAGTTTCTTATACCATATGATAGCCAATACTTGCCCCAACATGCATGGGAAGTTTCATCACGATCCATCAACCGATGTCCGTACCACCGGCAGGAAACCGCGGGCGTTGGCACTCAGTTTGTGAAAATCCGGCCGGAGGCTGTTCCCTTTGTGACGTCATAACTCCGTGACCTGGCATGACCCGGTCAAATTTTTTTTTATCAAAAGATGCGCAAGGCTTGCCCCATAAGGTACCCAAAATTTGGCGGCGCTGCGCGCCGCCGTTTTTGTACTATTTCCGAAAAACCTCAGGGGGGGGGGGTTGCACCAACCCCCCCCCTACATGAGCGAGGGTTAACCTTCCAGGCGGTGGGGGGGGGGGCAATTTTTTGCCCCCCCCCCCTTTAGTTTTTTCGATATATCTCGAGAACCGCTGCGCCGATCGTCACCAAACTTTCAGTACCCTCCCGGGAGCATCTAGCGCACATGGTGACCAAAAATTTTTCCAAAGGCTACGATAGGTTGGCCGCTAATGACGTCAGAGTGACGTCATTTTTGCCATTTTCGACCCAAAAAAAGGTTTCGCGGGAAGAGCTGTCAGGCCTACAGCTTTAGAGATACAGAAAAATGTTTTAGACATAAAAGGTGTGGAATTAAAAGAGCTACAAAACTGCTATTTCGGTTTTTCGAATTTTTTGGATTTTGACCCCAAAAAATCAAAAAATAGATTTTTTGAATATAATAGCCAAAAAATCCAAAAAGTTTTTTGAATTTCGAAAAACCCGGAATATATGTGATAGTCCCTACCACCTTCTATATACATACTAAATTTGAGATCGATACCTCTTTTTTTGGCCAAGTTATAGCGAAAAAACTGTTCAAAATTGATGACGTCAAATTTTCAAACTCAATTTTTAGTAATTCTAGACCTCGTAGCGCAAAACAAAGACCACCATTAGACTCCCCTTGACGAGCTGCATCGAATCGATACCCATTTTATGCAAAAATATCAACTTTGAAATTTGACCTTTTTTGACCTGACCTTGACCTGACCTCCACCAGAAAGTGACCTAAACCGTACCTGATGGTCTTGTAACCAACACCATTGAGTTGGAAATGAAAAACTGGCCATAAAACATGCATCGCATAACCTTAGTAAAGTTGGGCTCATGTGGTGACCCTTGGTGACCTTTGGTGACCTGACCTGTGACCTGACCTGGTATGACCAGTGACCTCTAATAGCAACATATTTACTAGACAACTGGCGCCTTATCGCTGATTTTCGACAAAATGCGTTTTACTCGGTGTTGTAGCGCTTTCCCTAGAAGCCCCGTGAACGGTGAAACATTTTATCTTTGACCTGACCTTTGACGTCATCGGTGACCCCGAGGTCAATGAAATTTGGTTTCCTTCGACAAATTTGACAGGGCTATCGAACGCCGTTTGAATTTTCCGGATCCGTCCAGTAGTTTCGGAGATACGGGGGGGGGGGCAAAAAAGTGCCCCCCCCCCACCGCGCGGAAGGTGGCTGGTAGGCCCACCGCCTGCCGGGTTAAGCTTTTAAGTGTTGAAGATGCGATCGACTTGTTGGGTAACAAGCCGGCCATGATCGTGTAAAATGGCTTCATCGTAGATCGATTAGTTTCTGAGATATAACCGGAAATGTAAAGTGCAAAACCTACCGCTTAATTTCGCGAGACCTGTACACTACATACCTACACACATGTCCACTGCCGCGCTGCCGCAGGTCCCCGACCTAGGATAGCCTCACATGACTAGACCTGGTCGGAAGCCTTCACGAGCCCGAAGGAAAACACCCACATCGCCCTGTCGCTCCCGGGTATAAACGGCTCCTTCGGCCCTGGCCCGACACTCGACAGGACATCCTTCTTAGAGCAGGGTGATATCCCGGCAGTCACATTTTACAGGATCAGTTCTGAAGACGCGGCTCCCCAAAGTTTGGTCGCGGAAGGCTCAGCGGCAGGGCGGCTGACCCGGTCCGCCCTGCGACAGAGGCCCTTTGCTCCGCTAGCTACGAACTACAGGCATTCTACGCCGCAATGCATGTGGTGGTATTCACAGAGGCTCGGACCGGTTTCCACCTCCAGGTGACACGCAGCAGGGTCAGGGGTCAAGGAAAGGTCATCAAAAGGCGGACAGCAATCGACAGTCCTGTGAAGCGTGCAGTTGCCCCCCCCCCCCCCCGCCCTCCCCGCACGTGTCCGCACGTGATCGCCCAGACGACGGTGACAGAGGGCCTATCGGGCTTGACCGCGGTGAAGGTCATTTATGTGGCCAGCGGGTCGGGTCAGGGTGGCTCGGCCGATTGTGACCGCCGCAGCCTTAGCTGGGTTCCAGCAGCGGCCAGGAGGCGAGCAAGTGAACTGCACTTTATGTTCTGTTCAGCGTGATTTTGCTTTGTAAGCATTGTTGTATGGTTTGTCACTTTATAAAAAAATGGAGTTGCCTAGAATATGGCGTGTTTCTATTGCTGTAAGTGTAAAAATGTGTGCCGCGCTACAACGGCAAACGGCAATCGAAAACAGAGATGCCAATCGGATACCAACTTTTTGGTATAGCGATATCGATCCAATACCAATTTGGTATGTTGTACCGGTCCCACTTGAAGTTTTCACAAATGCTTCATAAAATTGTGTTACAATTGTGCGTTTAATGTGGCGCTTTAGATGCAATAGTACGTATATGAATTTGACTGATCGAATCGTACAACATCTCGATGTTTCGTATTGCTGTTTTTTGCGTTTTTACATGACTTGGCTGAAGAAGGCAGCCGAAATGCTTTTGAAAGCTTCTATTGAAACAATAAGGTGGTGTCAGAGAAACGTTTTATACATTTTTGCACAATAAAACTTGGAAAGGAAAATGGCGAAAATGGCACTTATGTACCGTAATGTAATGTAATGTATTTAATGAGACAATCCTCGATGTACTCGGGGCTATTACAGTCTCAGTTATGTAGTACAAAGCATGCAACATATGTACACAGCATTTCCTGCCCTATCATAAACCACGCCTAGGTTGCTGTAAAATATAGCACATCTTATACACACACGAGACGAATCATCCACATTTAACAACAATCGCTCGATAGTCATTGCTCTAATAGTTCGGACATCGGACCACGTCACTCTTGCCCAGTCACGGTGCGACTGTCACATAGGTGGCTTACTAAGTGACTCCGGAAAGCTGGCGTCGAGCGTAACGTCAGATCATGTGGCAGCGCATTATACTGGCGAGGTGCACGACAGCAGAAACGCCTTCGTCCCATCTCTGTATGTGACATTGGTACGTACAATGTGTTGTTTTGTCTAGTATTGCGGTCACGGGTCTCTGAGCTTTTAATGAGATTTTCAGCCAGTGCTTCAGGTTCGCCTGCGCGACGTACTCTATGAACCATGCACATAGTGTGGTACTGGACGAGCTCATTAGCTTTCAACCAACCCAAACGTTGAAGCAGATCGGACACATGGTCAAATTTCTTGCGACGGAAAATGACTTTGGCGGCATAATTGATCACTTTCTGAATCCGAAGAAGATTTTTGTTTGTGGTATTACCATAAACGGATAAACAGTAGCGGATATGAGATAAAACTAAGGCATCCACTAGAATAGAAATGGTAGATGGCGGTAAATGGCCCCTCAATTGCGACAATCCGGTAAGAATTCCGAAACAACGGTGCACAACAACAGAAACATGAGTGTCCCAGCTAAGGGCACAGTCAAAATGAACTCCAAGATTCCTCGCTTCGGAAACAGGAGTCAAATTACAATTATTAAATTTTACAACATAGCTGGAAATGTTTCGCAAATTCTGTGGGCTACCTAACAACATTAATTGAGTTTTCTCAGAATTAAGTTTGAGCCCGTTAGCTCGGAACCATGACCCCAGAGATTCCAACACTTGTTCCAGCCTGCTAACAACAAGATTGAATTCCGCCTTTTTACCACTGACTAAAATTTGTGTGTCATCTGCATACTGCACGATCATCGCATCATCAGCAAATAGACTGAGATCGTTTGCAAAAATGCAGTAAAGCAATGGACCTAGCGCTGAGCCCTGAAATACACCGATATTATTAGGGAGCGGCTTGGAGCATCGGAGGTTTCCCAAGCTGTCAGAAAATGTGACACTTTGCATATGGCCCATAAGGTAGCTTGAAAACCATGAGACATCAATCCCATGTAGCTGTAATTTTGTTAGGAGTTTGGAGTGGTCAATTACGTCAAAGCATTTACTTAGATCAAGCATGCACAGG